TGTCAAACTTTTCAATGGAAGTCCCATTGGGTACATTCAGAGAGCTCTCAGTGCAGTCAATGGAATATACATGCATAATTCAAGTGCTGAGTTGGGACCTAGGGATAATAACTATTCTTCAAGGGGAGCTTTAACCACCTACAGTGAAGAATATTTTTCTTAAAAAGAAACTTTCACTTCTTGGCAAGTTAGTATAGAAAAAGTTTGAACACATTTCTCCATACTGTATTGTTCTAATATGAATTGTTGCAAAACAGCTTGAGCGCAGAGGGAAGAAAAGCTCTAGAAATAAAATTAATTGTTATTGCTATTATGGAAGTGTCCATTAACTTTATGAATCTGTTTTAGCATCTGCTAAACTGGCTTCTGAGCTTCTATCTACATACAGTAAAAAGCTTCTGCAGGCCACCCAATAAGCATCCATAAATTAGCACAAACTAAGGAGGATACACTTGAATTATGGTTTTAATCTTTGCCATTGCTTGGATTAGAATAGGACCCTTTCCATCTTGTAGTGGAGTCTCAGATTATGTGAATATAATAATTTATCAAAAAATATAAACTAGCAGAAGTTAAATGCAGAGTGAAATGAAAACAAAATATTAACAAATGAATATTATCATGCACTATTAATGGACAAATATTTTTATTTTGTTTTTAGACCAGTATCAAGTGAGTGGATTTTAAAAAAAATGCAAAACACAATCACTCACAAATTCCTGAATGTTATTCAGTATAAAAAGGCTGCTGACATGTGTCAAACACAAGAGAAGGCAGAGATTTATGTACTTTGGACTCAGGATGACCACCTATATCACCATTCTCCAGCAGGATCAGAACATGGTTCATGGAATATACAAGAGGTTGGATTACAGCACAGCCCTGTCTCTAACTGTACATAGCAGTCTTTCAACCCAGGTAAAGAGCATCATGAAAAGTTACATCTATCCTCAAGTGAAATCTTTGATCTATATTACTGTAGTGTGTTAATTTAAATAACTCAAGTCAACCCATAGTCAATGGCTCGGCATTAATTTAAGCAAAAGGCTAGTCTAAAATCTCACAGAAAAAAGAGACACTAATTCCATGTGTTCATGACACGATGCCAGCCATATTGCTGTACATGCAGTAATAAAGACTAACTACCTAATTCAAGACAAAGATATTTGACCCTCACTCCCATCTAAACACTCAATGATGCATGGAAGCAGAGCCTGGCAATGCATATGAAAGGGAATGATTTACTCCTAATCACAGTGGAAACAGAAAAACTTTTTAAAACCAAACTAGCATTAATACAAGTTGAGAGATTTCATCAGAAACATAATGAAGATGCTATGATCCTTTTCATTTTCCTCTTGCTTTACAGTGTTTCTCTTGCCTACATGTAAAACCATATACTGTACAGAAGAATATAGTTTACACACAAATGGCACAAGGCAATATTCAACCTTGGCCTACTCCCAAAAGAACATAATTTAATAATTTTTTAAAAATAATACATTATATAGGTACCACTGATAAACACAGTCCTTACATGAGCTCCCAAGGAAGTCTTATTTGAGTAAGGGCTGCACAATCAGGCAGGAAGTATATATGCAGCCATGTTCAATTAAAGGTAATTCATGTAAAGTAATATTTCCTGAGTCAGTCATGGAGCTCTCAATGCCATTGGTTAACGCATTACACATTAGTGACTTGCACCAAGAATAAAATAGTTAACCTATGTATTACTAGAAAATGCAGTTAAATGATTATTAGAATTTATGAGTTTGATAAAACAAAGGGGTAACCCACAGCACAATTTGTTCCCTGAAATTCATGAGCAGAAGTGAAATATCCTCATGTAAGTTTGAACGCAGCTCTTTTCAGGTGTTTAGAGAGAGAGAGCGAGAGAGAGAGCGCGTGCTAGTATATATACACGTGTGTGTGTGTGTCTCTATCTGCACCATATATACATATATAGTGCAGATACACACACACACAAGCTACATATTAGTTAACACCTACCACTCGCTAGACTTTACAGCCTTCCAAATAAGGGTTCTGCAATCCAGCAATGCCAGCTCAGAAATTGCCTAAGGACTTGCAGCCCAGCAACACAAAGCTGAGGAGCTCTGCAATAGCTTATAGTTTCAGAGGCGCATAGCGCTAAAGTTGCTTGTGTTTCATGTCCATAAGCTCTCCTGATAGTCCATTTTGGAAGGAAAACAATGGCTTGGGTGTAACTCTTGGGTTATCTTGCAGGATAACTATCATGGTGATCAACACCATTCTCCAGAAAAACTACACTCTTCTACAGCTAGAATACAAAAGCAATTATTGAACAGTAGAAAAGACCGGAAGGGATGAAGGATAAAGATAAAAGGGATGAGGAATAAGGATAAAAAAAAAGTATAAAAGAAATATAGGCAGGAGGGGGAAGTGCTCTCATCACAGACTATGAGACTGGTTGTGGTCAATGTGAAAATCTGTCCTGAAAGAACTGGGACACCAAAAAAGCAAGAATAAATAATAAAACCCTGTAGAGTTCTGAATCCTTATAGCAAAATAACCTTGAAAGAAAGATGTATGAAATACAATGTTTCTAATTCACCAGCTACTTACACAGTTCAAATCCCTATGAATACTGCTTATCTATCAGAAGTACTGCCACAAACAGATATTACATGATCACTTTCTATTAATATTTGTTCTCTTTTGCCTTTCCTCTGCCCTCCACCTCCCACAACATGCCCTCCCCAGCCCCTCCAAAGAAGGAGGCCACCAGGGTTATTCTTTCAGGAAAGAGCACTGCTGGCACTTACAAATGTTTTCCTTTCTTCTGCTGTAACAGCTGCAAACATCTCAATAAAGTAACAGGGAAATGGGTCACATTTCAAAGGCTGATCAGTTAACACTTACTCAAGGCCCTTTTGAATTTTTCATCTTTGCAAAAAGCTTTTTTCCTTATAAACACACTTTGTGTTACTTCTATTTGAATTATAAAAAGTATCGTTTTTGGACTGACCTTAAAGAGAAGATTTATGAATATGCTACATGCAGCTCACTGGCAAAGCTGCAAATAATAATACAAAAGGACTGTCCATTTTGTAATACGTGTGGGTAAGTTAATATGTCCATATGCTGATTCCTACAAGCATCTATCTTCAAATCTAACAGTTCTGTTGCTGTAAAACTCCAATAGGATGCCATTTAATTGTGTATCACAAGTTCACATGCAAATCCATTTAACATTAGGGACATACACAATTTGAAAATGGAAATGTCACCTATGTTGTACATTATGTACTACCAGTACAGGAATTACAAGATGGCTCTTCTGAAAGAAAAGTCTTAAATTATTTTTCTGAGAACTGCAGCTACTCTACAGGCTGACTTATGAGAAAAAGTTTAGCAACCTAGCTAACATCTGAAATGCTCTTTCACTGCCATCAAAAATAGTCATAGTCAGCAGGCTCAACAATTCACACACACATTACTTTTTAAAAGCCTGATCCAAAGCCCATTGAAGTCAATGGCAGTCTTTCCATCGACGTCAATGAGCTTTGGATCAGGTGCAAAATGATTTAAGAACACATACCTTCTCAAAGACACACACTTGAAATCATTTGAATTCACAAAGATCATAAATAAGATACTTTTAATGGGTCTTTTCCATTAGGAAGTTTCACAAAGAGCTCCTTTCCACATAAATTCAGTCCCTTGACAGAACAACCAGCTCTTTTCTCCTCTGGAAATGGTGAGTCACAAGACTTCAAACACATTTCACATGAGAAATGAGGAACCTGACAAACCCCTTCCGATGATGCCTAATTCAATGCTTAAGCAAGACAAATCAGAGCTTACCAACATAAACTCACAAGGTGCTCCTAACTAGAACCCTTTCATGAAGAGCAACCTCAAATCAAAATAAAATCAATCATTAGGACATTTTTTCATACCAAACTCATGCTAAACTGAAATGGATCCCAAGGACAACCTTTTGATCATTTCTGGAGAGGAGATCAGGCCAATATGAATGGTCAAACAATCACTAGTGTTGCTTGTGCTCAAAAGGAGTCTTGGGTGGAATTTTCAAAAGGGCTTACATGTAGTTAACTTAACTCTGCTCCAACTGAAACCAATGGGAGATTTACTAGGAGTTTTACTATTAACTTCAGTGGGAGCAAAGTTAGCTCAATGTTGAATCATTTTGGACATCCCATTCTCTCTCTTTAGGCAGTATCCTACTATCATTCTGGAACTGCCACTGCCATCATTATGAAGCTGTTACTGAAGTCAGCAAGAACACTGTTAAAAGCAATGGCAGGAATGAGCCATTTTTATACATCAAACTAATGCACCACATTTGACATTACATTTAAATTAAGTTCAAATGCTTTCAGTTATTTGTACAAAATGACTTAGTCACCACCAGCAGTGGATTGCTAGAAATTATGTCACCAAATCCAAAACAAAACTAAAAAAATAAAAATAAAATTCCAACACTTAATTTTGTGCTTCGAACTATTTATGCACAGAAGAAACTAAATAAGAGACACATTCCAAGCATAAGACCTGATCCTGCAATGTGACCCACCCTCCAGGATTCTGCACAGATGTCTGGTGTCCAAGTTAGCAAATCACACTGCAGGATCAGAGCCATATTTTGTGAAACACATAATTTAATAAATAAAAACATGCACATTGATTTAGAATATGCCAATGACCACGCTTGCACATGTTCTTGGGTTTTCAAGAAATATCTTTAAGCATGTTGAAGAAGCCTGGCAACAGTTTTGAACTTCCAAAAGATGAAGCCGCATATACAGTGGTCACCATTACAGTCAACATTTGCCAGTTGCTCCCACTTTAATTGACCACTAAAGCAAAATCTTGCCCTCAGGTAAAACTCCCCTTAACTTTAACAGGAGTTTTGTTATGTTAGAACGGCAGAAAGTGGTCCATAATACACAGTGTTAAAGTCATCTCTGTATTTCTGAGCTGGATTTCCTTACCTGTGGACGTAATGTAACTGATGTACAGAATCAATCGCTATCACCATTTCAGCCAAATAAAAACGAGCCATATCTTCAGGTAACCTGTCCTCAAACTTGCTAAGCAGGGTGAGCAGATCTCCTCCAACATAGTAATCCATAACCAGGTACTGTGAGTAAAGGGGAGGAGTGGGAGACACAAAGAAAAAAAAAACTGTTTACACAATGACTCAAAGACCAATACAATCCAAGTATAGCTAAGGGACTGCAGACAATTATTAATACTTTAGACACCACTGAAGTGCTCATCATGACATTTTCTTAAAATGGAGACAAAACATTAAAAGAAGCATTTAAAAAAATAGCCTTCATAAATGTAATTTTTCAAATAACCTTTGACATTCCTTGTTATCCTGCAAACCATAAACTTGTTTTTAGCAAATCTTTTTTTTGTAAAGATTTCATATTTACCTATGTCCAAATAAATTAAACAACAAGACAGGGAAAGTGTCTGTCTGGTTCATCATTCCAGAATCAAACAGACAAGATCATGAAGTTAAGATGAGAAGATTACTCACCTTGCAGTAACTGAGGTTCTTTGAGATGTGTGTTCCTGTGGGTGTTCCACTCCACGTGACGGTGCGTCCTGGCGCCGTTGATTGGAGATTTTCAGTAGCAGTGCCTGGTCGAAGGACGCATGCGCTCAGGTGCTGTCTCGCGGTCTCGTTAGAGTCTGCCTGAACACGCGCGTCCCGCATCCCCCCTCAGTTCCTTCTCTACCGTAGAGACGTCAGAATAGTACTCCAAAGTACAGGGGAGGAAGGTGGGGAGTGGAGCACCCACAGGGACACACATCTCAAAGAACCTCACTTACTGCAAGGTGAGTAACCTTTTCTTCTTCGAGTGCTGTCCCTGTGGGTGCTCCACTCCAGGTGAATGTGAAGGAGTACCCACTATGGCTGGTGGGACTTTGGAGTTGCGGCAGTGACGACTGTAGACAATACTGTGTGGCCTACTATGGTGTCTGCCGTGGTATCCTGCATGATAGCATAATGTTTGGTAAATGTATATTCAGATGTCCACGTGGCCGCCTCACAGATATCAGGAATAGGTACATTATGGAGGAAGGCAATGGATGTTGACATAGCTCGAGTAGAATGAGTTCTGATGCCTTCGGGTGGTTGGGCATTCTGAATGCGGTAACAGGAGCTGATGCAGTCAGAGATCCACTTGGAAAGGTGTTGCTTAGAGATAGCCGCACCCTTCAATCTCTCAGTAGTGGAGACAAATAGCCGCGGAGACGTATGAAATGGTTTAGTCCTGTCTAGATAAAAGGCAATTGCTCGTCTGATGTCAAGGGTATGTAGAGCCGCTTCGTGCAGAGTCTAATGAGATTTGGGATAGAATGCAGGTAAGTATATTGGTTGGTTAAGGTGGAAGGTGGACATCACCTTAGGGAGAAATTTAGGGTGGGGTCGCAAGGTAACTTTATCTTTAGAGAAGACTGTGTAAGGAGGGTAGGCCATCAGAGCGCTTATTTCCCCTACTCTCCTTGCTGATGTTATAGCAACCAAAAAACCTACCTTCGTAGACATGTGGAGAAAATATGAGGTAGCTAAGGGCTCGAAGAGAGGTTTCATAAGATCGCGAAGAACTAGGGTTGAGATTCCAGGCAGCTGCCGATGGATAGATCTCAGGGTAGAGATTTTTCAGGCCCGTGAGAAAGCGTTTTATGGTGAGGTGGGCAAAGAGTGAATATTCATCCAGAAAATCATGGAAGGTGGTGAGGGCCGCGAGGTGTACTCTGATAGAGCTGAGTGATAGCCCGTCCTGTTTTAGTTTTAAAAGGTAGTCTAGGATGTTAGGGAGGGTCACAGTATAGGGTGTCAAGTATTTATGGGACCATCACATGGAGAAGCATTTCCACTTCTGCAGATAAGTCTTATGAGTGGAGTCTTTTCTACTATGCAGGAGGACATACCGGACTTGCTCAGAACATGCTAGTTCGTGGGTCTGGAACCATGAAGGAACCACGCCGTCAGGTGGAGTTTCTGGAGCTGCGGGTGAAGAAGCTGGCCATTGTCCTGAGAAAGCAGATCTGGTCTGTTGGGGAGAGTCCACAGAGGACAGATGAACATGCGGAGCAGGTAAGGATACCATGTCTGTCTCGACCAAGCTGGAGCAATAAGTATGACCTGGGCCTTGTTGTCTCTGATCTTGCGTAGAATCCTGTGTATCAAAGGGATCGGTGGAAAGGCGTACATGAGAGAGTTGTTCCACAGTATGAGGAATGCGTCTCCTAGGGATGCAGTCCCAAATCCCGCTCTGGAGCAAAATAGGTGGCATTTGTGATTCTGGGCTGTGGCAAAGAGGTCTATCGACAGAGTGCCCCAGTGGGAGAAGAGCTGTTGTAGTATCATGGGATGTAATTCCCATTCGTGTTCTTTGGAGAAGTGTCTTCTGAGTGTGTCGGCTGTAGTGTTGTGACATCCGGGTAGGTATGAAGCAGTAATTTCTATGTGGTATTGTATGCACCAATTCCACAATCGGATGGCCTTCACGCATAGGGAATGTGATCGTGCTCCCCCAGTCTGTCGATGTAAAACACACATGCTATATTGTCCGTTAGGGCCCAGATAGATTTGTTCTTTATGAGGGGAGAAAGTGAAGGCAGGCTTGTCTCACTGCTCTGAGCTCTAGAAGATTTATGTGCAGACGCGTCTCTGGCCAGGACCAGCGGCCCTGTGCTGTGTTCCCCCCCAGGTGCACTCCCCAACCAATCAGGGAAGTGTCCATGGTGAGCATGAGTGCCGAGGTTCTCTGGTCTTGTCCACCATTGTAGGGAAGCTAGTACGTTCACTGGAGGAGTTAGCATCATGCAGAAGCTGTGTCTGCTGGGTTTGTAGCTGGAGTTGAGCCAACCCTGAAGACATCTCATGTGCAGCCTGGCGTACTTCACCACGAAGGTGGTGGCTGCCACGTGGCCATGGAGCTTTAGGCAAATTCTTGCCTGTATTCTGGGACGAACGGAGAGCATGCGTATGAGATGTGTAATAGCGTGGAATCTGTTGTGTGGGAGTGAGACTCTGGTTCGGATTGAGTCCAGGTGAGCTCCGATGAATTCGATCCGTTGTGTAGGTGTCAGGGTGGATTTTGGGAAGTTTATTTGCAGGCCTAAGCTGCGGAAGAGGGAGATGACGAAATGGGTAGCTCATAATGACTCGTCGTATGAGTTGTCTTTGATGAGGCAATCGTCTCCGTAGGGCAAAAGTATATCCCGTGTCTGCCGAGGTGGGCCACAACTACGGCTAGGGTCTTGGAGAATACTCTTGGTGTCTGCGCCTAGGAGGTCTAGTGCAATTCCTGGCTATCTCGTATGGTCTGGGCTGGGGCCAGTGATATTGTTGTGTGCGTGGCCTCTGATAAGGTTGATACCGTTGTCTCCTGGGAAGGGATGGGTAAATGCCCAGGGTGTGCAGAGTTGCTCTAGAGTCTTTCATAGTGTGAAGGACTTCATCGTGTTGTTATTTTTTTGGAAAAAAGCTTATCTTTATCAAAAGGTGAGGTCCTCCACTTTGGTCTGCAGGTCTTTGGGGATACCGGATGCAGACAGCAAGGAAGATCTGCACATAACCACCGCAGTTGCGGTAGTGTGGTCTGCTGTGTCCGCCATGTCTAGAGATGCTTGTAGGGCCGTTCTGGAGACCAATTGGCCCTCGATAAGGACTGACTTAAAGTCTGCTCTCCTGTCCTCCAAGATATGGGAGATAAAATCAAAGAGTTTATTGTAACTGTCGAAGTCATAGCTTGCACGTAGGGCAGAATAGTTTGCAATTCTGAATTGCAGAGTGGAGGAGGTATAGACCTTGTGGCCCAAGAGGTCAAGGCGTTTGAGTTCCTTGTCTTGCAGCGTGGGCCAGTAGTGCGGCTGTTTCGTCCTGTGTGTCGCTGCATCCACTACAAGAGAATTCGGTTGTGGATGGGAAAATAAGAAGTCTACGTCCTTAGCAGGAACATAATATTTACATTCAGCCTTTTTGCAAGTTGGTGGGATAGAGGCTGGAGTCTGCCAGAGGGTGTCAGATGGTTCTAGGAGTGTTTCGTTTATGGGGAGCGCAATCTGTGAGGGCGCAGAGGGTTGGAGGATTTTGAGGAGTGTCTCCTGGACCTCCTCTAAAAGGGATGTCCTGGCTGAGTGCCACCCTCTTGAAAAGTTCTTGGAATTGTTGTCCACATTCTGTGGAGGCAGAAGCATGAGGGCTCCATCTGGAGCTGATGGAGAGTTAGGAGTTCGTGAATCAGGGTGTGGTCCATAGCCCACCTTTGGGGGGGTAGGGTGGTTCAGGCGCTCTAGAAGTAGATGGAGCTGGAGATAGAGGCGCAGAAGAAGCTTGTGGTCTGGTGGAAGAAGCATGAAGATGAGTGGCAGCAGGAGCTGGCCAAGGGTACCACTGAGGACAAGGCATGGGATAAGAGAAGTTAAGTGCCGCCCACGAGGGGGCGAAGTAGGGAAACTGAGGCTGGTGGTTGTGAGCCGTGACCTGAGGTGCAAAAGGTTCCAGTGGAGGAGGAGAGGCAGGTGGGGAGAACTCTGCCTGCTGCTGCATATCGGGCTCGCTGTCAGTGAAGGTAGCCAGGTCAGGCGGGGAGAGCGGCTGGTCAAAGAGTGAGCACTGTGTGTCAAGTCAGGCTGAGTGGCCACTGAGATGTTGTCCTGACTTAAGAATTGCTGCTGCTGCTCTCTGGGCTGTGATCCTGCTGAGCGTGGTCTGTGCTCAGAAGCATGCACTGACTTCTGTTTTGTTTTCCCTGGTGCTGCGGGTTGTTTGTAGGCGCTCTGCGGGAGGTCCACTGCTGCTGCTGGAGTGGCAGGCAGGCTTGGTGCTGACGTTCTTGTTGGCACCGGGGCAGAACGCGCTGTTGGCACCAGGTCTATTTTCGGTGCCGAGGAGACCTTCCCGATACGGGAAGTCGGGTCCCTGCCTCTGCGCGAGGCGTGGCTGAGGTGCTGGGACGGTTGGAGGAGCCTGCCTTCAGCGCTGTCAGCACTGAGGGTAAGGATCTCGCAGGAGACCCTTTACCCTTTTGAAAGTCTCTGGATGGAGACAGTTGGGCTTCCTGCCTCTTCGCATGAGAAGGTGAAGCCGCACTCCCGATCGGTTCGGATCTG